CCTCCCCCCCGAGTCCAAACTTTGAAGTTTGTATAAAATCACTTAAACAGCATGGATGACTGAGCTACTCAGTTTGACATTGAAAAGCCAGTTAAGTGACAGTTGAAGTCACAAAAATTAAGCGAAAACAAGGGCAGTTTTGACTTTAATTATCGCCTACAGTGAAAAAAAAAACACTATTTCCTTGTCTTTTTTTTCTGCAAAATTCTAGATTTCAAGAAGCGAATGACTGTTTGTACCCAATTTTAGTCCTACTTCTGTCATTTAAGCGTTTTATTTTTCAAATTTTCCATAAASATCTCATGCTACGGCTTTCTCTTTGGACACTGATTCAGAACATGTGTTTTAACCGGATTTTTGCRTGCAATGAATTCTGGGAGAAGTCTACACACCCGTGAGCAACGATTCCGTCCAATCTGAAATAGAAATTTATATAAAGTCTACAGCCTTCTCGGAAATCTGCCAAAATTTCAAGTCGCTTTTGTTGCTCGATAGCCAAAACATCCAAAAATTACTGTGGCAGCTCCAAGGATTTGCCTTTAGACCGTCTTTTAAGTGATTCTCTTCAAGCGACTGTCCAAGTTAATCGAATCAACCACGGAATCAAAATCGCTTAAAAAGTCACRCACSAAGCTGGATTCTTTCAGCAAGTAAGCTCCTTCGCTACCTACAAACTTAATGATGTCCGTAGAGTAGTGACTAAAGGCAAAAAGGCTGAGAAAACCGTGAAAAAACTCATTTCTCGACTYCTTGCTGCACAGCTTCGAACCAAAACAAACCGACAAACCAACTGTGAAAGTCATGAGTTTAGCGCGAATATGCAAATCTAGGATGTTTTACGGTCTAGCGATCAGTTGTCAAGCCAAAGAAGTTGGTAACTATGGCTCTTTTTTGCTCTTTTTGGAAAGAAATCAGGAGAAATAAGTAATAAATAAGGTTATTTAGACTTAAAATAAGCGATTGGAATGATGTTTTTTTAATTTTTCGAAAATTTCAAAAATACCCTAAATCGTCACTTACGTTGTTTTCAAATCCGCGNGCTGAGAAAACCGTGAAAAAACTCATTTCTCGACTTCTTGCTGCACAGCTTCGAACCAAAACAAACCGACAAACCAACTGTGAAAGTCATGAGTTTAGCGCGAATATGCAAATCTAGGATGTTTTACGGTCTAGCGATCAGTTGTCAAGCCAAAGAAGTTGGTAACTATGGCTCTTTTTTGCTCTTTTTGGAAAGAAATCAGGAGAAATAAGTAATAAATAAGGTTATTTAGACTTAAAATAAGCGATTGGAATGATGTTTTTTTAATTTTTCGAAAATTTCAAAAATACYCTAAATCGTCACTTAYGTTGTTTTCAAATCCGCGCCTTCAATTATACTGCTTCCATGCAATTCCTCAAATTCTTGAAGTTTCAAATTCTTGAAGTTGATTTTATTAGCTAATTCTATTGTTTTCTATGGTATAACTAACACTATACTGTATTTGATACTCAATAGTACGCTTTTACTGTTTGCACTCGAAATGTACATGTATTTTGTGTAAGCTTTATAAGCAAATTAAACACACGCCTTTATTGCGTCAGTAGTGGGTGGTYGCTTACGGGAGAGGAAAAACAATGAAAAATTCTATAATTTCAATCCCAAAGGTAGTCGTGGTTGGCTACAAGAGTGGTCGCCTATGAGAGAGTTGTTTTTACAGAGTTTATATGGAAAACAAAACAGGAAATTTAAAATGTGGTCGCTTACGGGAGATGGTCGCTTACGAGAGTGGTCGTTCAAAGAGAGTTAACTGTATTTGTATTATCAACTCCCATTTACTATATTAGTGTGCTTTCTACCTTAACCAAAAATGAACCCTGACATTTACCTTAATATTTATATATTATTAGAAGGGACTAAAGAACGGGAAATCAAAAGACAATTGTAGTTTGGGCTTCCTGTGCTAAATGTGGCATCTTTAGCACAGTCAAGCATTATTGAAAACAGGAAGCCAAATAGAAACATGAGGTGAATGATTGTAAAATTGTAGCTGTAACATGTTGATTTTCCTCTTCTAAATAAATTCTATAATAAATTCCGATATTTTTTTTCAAAATCAAGAATTACAACTTTATCACTTCTCATTATTGCAGTCGAATGTAGAGTTTGGGTTGGCYGTGATGGAGAATCGGAATTTCATTTGATACTCATTGTTATAGATCAGAGGCTGTGTCATGGCTACTTTTATATTGGAAACATTAGATATTTCAAAATAACAGAAAAATTGGTTGGCCATAGGGTGGCCCATAGGTAGGCCATGGCCTAGGCCATGGACCTGGGCCCAGGTTTTGTTGCCACATCGATGTTTTTGCCGACCGACAACGAGTTTGGGTGTTTGAACCGAAGAGTTGAATGTTTGAACCGAGGAAACGAGTGTTTGAACCGAGGAGTTGAATGTTTGAACCAAAGAAACGAGTGTTTGAACCGAGGAGTTGAATGTTTGAATCGAAGGAACGAGTGTTTGAACCGAGGAGTTGAATGTTTGAACCGAAGAAGAAACGAGTGTTTGAACCGAAGGAACGAGTGTTTGGAATTTTGATTTAGCACATGAATAGCCGTGCTGCATAARTAGGTGCTGCCGTGTTACAGTCGTGCYGAACTCAATTGATTCATGCGTCGAGCTGTTCATGTGCTAAATTCAAACTATTTGGTTCGGCGCGACGCTGGCTCGACGTATAAAAACGTATTCATTCAATAAGCTTAATGATTTTAAGCTTACCTTCTCATCCAAACAGTGTCTGTAATATTGATATCCACAGCCCAAAGCTACGACACTACCCAAAATTCGAATGTATGCCATAGAAAATGTTCAAGAAGATTTCATCAAAAGAATTTATAGGAATCTAACATTTCCAATGTATCGCTGCACACCATACACACCAAAACGGGTATCGATCGGTCTCGATATCATGTTATAAAATTTTTGATATATAACGCGCGCTCTGATTGGCTAACCAACTTGTGTATATCAGAGGACAGAGCGACGGCTCGCCAAAATTTGCTTTTGCTTTCGCTCGAAACATTTTATAAAAGAAATTAGCCTCCTCCGCAAGCAACTCTATAACTCCTATCAATCTTTTAATTTACGAACGGTTGGGCTTCCTTTGGTGAGAGGCGGGGAGACTGGAGGCGAGAGAGAAAAGGGGAGGAGTTGGCATCTCTACTTCCTTTTTTCCTCAACACCCCCCACCCCAGACTTCCTCAGAGAGAGAGAGAGTATTAGAGAGATGCCTGCGGAGGAGGGGGTTTAGATAACGGCTTATTAAGCCATTATCTTGGTATATATAACAAAACATTTTAAGCCACTAACTTGTTCGGTTAAATAAATTTTAGTATTATATAAGGGTCTATAAGTATTAGCACTATATAATCGTATGAGGAAGTAGCTGATCCCATTAAAGAGTGCTCAATACACATAAAGTGTAGAGCTAGTTATATATATGATATCAAAGAAGCAAGATTTTGCTGTAACTCCGAGTTTCGTGCTACGCACTCATCAGACAGTATTTAATGATAAACATTCCTATAATCTAGATATATATACATGGTATAGAACAAAAGGCTAAGTGCTAGGCTATTTACATACAATACGTGATAGTTATGCTAGAAACAATAGGTGTGAAGGTAAAAATTACAAAGGAGAGTATACTATTAATTAAAACTGCATAGGTGTGAATACAATAGGCTGTAGAGGTGTCAAGTGTTCTTCAGGTAGAATTTGTTTTCGTGTCGGCATTTAGAGATGAGTTCTGATCTTTTGTTTAGTATATTGTCGTTACTGTGTTTAATTATCATAAGTTTTTCTGTAAGGCAGAGGTCGCATCGTTTGGATATGTTGTTGTAGGGTCTTGCACGGCNCTTAAAATGCTTTGTTATGTATATGGTAGAGACTAAAATCGGCCGTTCGTTAACGGCTTAAAATGTTTTATTATGGATATGAAAAGACTAAAATCCGCCGTAAAGTTAACGGCTTAAAATGTTTTGTTATGTATATGAAAAGACTAAAATCGGCCGTAAAGTTAACGGCTTAAAATGTTTTGTTGTGTATAGAACAGTATAAAAAGAGACTAAAATCGGCCGTAAAGTTAACGGCTTAAAATGTTTTGATAGGTATATGAAAAGACTAAAATCGGCCGTAAAGTTAACGGCTTATAATGTTTTGATAGGAATATGAAAAGACTAAAATCGGCCGTTAAGTTAACGGCTTAAAATGTTTTGATAGGTATAGAAAAAGACTTAAATCGGCCGTAAAGTTAACGGCTTAAAATGTTTTGTTATGTACGTGGGATCGCGATTAAAATAATTCCTAATGTTCGGGCTGCCACCGATGAATGCACGAATATGACGTGGTTGGTTAACCCGTACACGACGATAGTACCCTAAAAATAGCCCAAACCCATTCGCATCGGGGTTATCCTGAAACACTAGCGCGCGCAAAACTGAAAACTGAATTTCGAGCGGAGTCTCCTCTCTTGCCACTATATATATATAAAGGGAGGGGAATTTTTTTTAAACCCATTTATAATGCATTGTGACACTGAATAAAATCAAAGTAGACTATTTTTTTTAAGTAAAATTTTATTTCTAACTATTATAGGTTCAAAGTCATTGCTTTGGCTCCCTGTGCAATCGGTATCCTCGATAGCCCTCGAGTAGGATCTGGGTACGAGAATCACAGGGAGCCCAAGCAGTGACTTTGAACCTAAGGGAGGAGACTCCGCTCGAAATTCTCCCAAAAATGAGCCAAAAACGATCGACAAAAATCCTGTCACGGAGCACATCGCAACTCTCATATATTTGGTAAAAATGGTACGTTTTTCTATTTGTTAGCTTTAGTTTGATATAAATATGAACAGTGGAGTAACATHTCTAAGTTATCGAAACTCGAAATCTTACAATTTGTCGCCGTTTTCGCATAGTTTAAACTCGACTATCTCACCTGACTCTATCTCAAGTTTTTTGATGAAAATAGTAAACTAGTTAATAATTTTTTTTCGTAAAGTTAACACTCAACGATCTCAATAGACCTGATGACATTTAATATCAAGTTTTTTTTTGACAAAAATAGCATAGTTAAATAACCTATGAAATAGTTAAGCTCTTGAAAAAAGCTGCTCGGTTTTTGCAGTGATCAGTCGATATATTAACAGATCATACCGTATGATTTCGAAAAACAAGTCCATGTTATAATTTTGAAAGTTTTCGCTTCTGAAATTTTCAAATATAGTTATCTGAAGTATGCAGTTATCTGTAAGAAACTCAAAAGAACCCGATGCAAGCAGAGTTGCGATGTGCTCCGTGACAGGTGAAACTGTCCCGAGTGGCCCCCCCATAGTCTCCAAATTTGTCAAGTTTTCAGTTTTGCGCGCGCAAGTGGCCTCAGAATACCATCGACACGGATGGGTTTGGGATATTTTTGGGGACACTTTTTTGGATTTTTTTGCCCGAAAAAGCGTTTCTATCGATGCCTCTCGTCCAAAATAAGGTAAAAAACGTTGATTTACATATGCTGTCT